GGGGGGGGGAGGAAGAAACGAGGCGGGAAGAAGAAGAAGCAAGAAACAGAAAGATACAGTTACAAAAGTATGCGCCAAAAATTACAGTTGCAAAAAAGGGATTGAGGCGCCAATCAATCAAGGTTCCGGCGCAGCAGCAAGAAAGAGCGCGCGAACATGCAGAGCAGCGCCCCAGAAAAACAGAAATTCCTAAATTCCTAAATTCCTAGCTAGCCTGCCGAAAAGGTCCGAAAAGAAAATCAAAATTCCGAAGACCGTATGGCTCCGACCAAGTTTCGAAAATAAAATTCAAGAAAGAAATTCAAAAAGAGACTCCGAAATTCCCGCGCGATGTCTGCGCGCCCAAGAGTTCGACAAAACGAAAGAAAAGAAGGGAAACGAAAGAAAAGAAGAGACGTGAATGTTTATTAATCGCGCACTCGACGCTCACTCCGCATCCGACCAAGTTTTGCCCCCTTTTCCCCTGGTATTCCTGAATTGTCCCCAACTGTCATCAGGGGCTCGTGCGAGAACGAAGAAACAACAAAAAGGCAAGGACACACATGCAATTTTCCATCAACCCGTCCAATCGACGTGGGACCCCGCTTAGCACTTCGCGCCGAAAGTCGCACGTTACAGAAGCTAGTTCGTCACAGCACATCTGTCCCAGGGACAGGAGATGACGCTGACTGAACAACAGACTCCCGCTCCCCCATTGTCTCGTCTCATACCGGTGTGTGTGTTGGAATATCAGGATTCGGTTAGACCTTTTGCCATCTCACTGCCAGCATACACCCTGTCAGTGGACCCGAGGGATTGGGCATGGAAACATCCCCTCTCCCCCGAGAAATTGCTTAAATTGTATCAATATTCTACGAGAATGGGGTACCAACTTACTCGTCCTCCTGTGGACATAGGATGGCAGATGGCCAGAAGGTGGGTCACTTCAGGTTGGGTGCACGACACGGCAGTGAGGTTGGTGTCAACACTGCCTCGATTCTGGAAATTGTTGATGGACCTGTCCGCGGTTAAACAGGCGAGTTTCTTATGGCAGGTTACGCACCTAGCAGTCCCCACAGCAAACTGGTGTGCTAGAAGGACGCCCAGGGCATCACCGTTGTGTGTCCTGTGCGAAGGCATGAGAATTGAGGATCTTTAACACATGGTTCTCCACTGTCGGTTGTCTGCGCCTTTCTGGGAATGGTGGCGAGGAGATTCGGTGCCTGTGCCAGACTCCTCTGCACGATGGTCAGATGACTTCATTCTGTTGGGCAATGCATCTCGAAGACAAACAGCTATAGGTTCTCTGGGGTATGCAGAGGAGACATTGCGTGGTGCAGTACTATGGACTCTGTGGACCCTTAGAAACTCGGCGGTCAGGAGGGGGGAAAGGCTTACCCCCCCGATGATAAGAGCAGAGGTTAAATACAATATCAAGCAGGCCATCGGCACAGATTGGACACACAAAGTGGTGAATAAAGGGTACCGAACTAAACCTATGAACTTGTTTCTATCCCACTGGAGACGGTTCTCAGACCTGGTTACAGTGACAGTACAGCAGCAGTCACAACCGGTGTTGGTTTTCTCCTCCTTTTTCTTGTGAGGCCCCTTCTCTTGTAGAAATCTGGATTTTAACTGTGTCTGTACTTTTAGAATGTACTTTTAGAATGTGCTTTTTCTCTCGTTGGATGATGTTACTTCCTAGGATTTACGGTTGTATCTTTCACTGCACCTTTACCGGCGGTTTACCCTTGAACGTCTTACTCTTCCCCTGGCTGATTGATGGTACAGTGGTTTAGGGTAGATGTTAGCATAGCTGTTGGTTTTTTCTTCCATTTTTGTTGTTTCTCCGAAGTTGTTACTTGGGACAGACACTCTCGCAGTCCGGTTCTGTACCCGGCGGGAGTTGCCGGGTCCAGGACTTGGCCTGCTGTTATTTGTTGTAAGGGACGCCGGGCCCGTTTCCCGGTTTTGTTTTCAAATGAAGAATTTGTTAAAAAAAAAAAAAAAAAAAAAAAAAAAAAAAAAAAAAAAACGAACGAGGAAAAAATAAAGATAGATGGTTGCTTTCCTTTCTTTTGATTTCTTTTTTTGGGGGGGGAGGGGGGGGGAAGAATGTATCTGGCTTCACTTCTGCACGGCGTTATATGAATCTTGGGGCAATCACGTTCAGATGCTGTTTCCCGTTTCCCCCTTCTCGTTTTTTTTTTTTTTTTTGGGTAAAGATCGTTGGCTGTTTCTGCACTTGCTCCCCGTGAGAGACGGGGAGCATTCTATGCCTCAGGTCCCAGAGGCAGTGTGACGTTGCAACTTCGACGCATGTATCTGGCTTCACTGCTGCATGCCGTTCACGTTTCTCTCTTTCTTTTTTTTTGGCTTTTTTTTTTTTTTTGGAAGAAGCGCCTTCACGGGAGCATTGAATGTGTGAGCGGATCATCCAGCGGCCTATCTCAGTTGGTAAGGCACGCAAGTGGCATTCAGGAGGTCTTGGGTTCAATCCCCATCGGCCTCATGTACCTTCCTGGGCATGCTTGGCGCCCACCACCTAGAGATAGCCCGTCGGTCCCCCCAATTGGCATTAAAAGGCAGGTTCTGCTGATGTACATAGGGGTAATCGGGGAGGCACAGCGACTGGCCACTCAGATGATCCTCGGTCCCTCTGCCACCAGCTGTCCCCTGGCCGGTGCCCCCCGTTGGGGGTTCCCTGAAGGCTATCAGGCCACCCTGGGCTGAAAAGCCCACTGTTGTCAGATTCTGGTTAGTCCGATGATAATACCTCAAGGCCATCGCCCTTTTTTTTTTTTAAAAAGGCGTGAGTGGATAGAGCAGAGGGCTCGGGGCGCCTCGTTTACACTAACAACAGTATCTGGGTATTGGACCCCATAGGCTGGGCAATCTGGCCCAGTGGACACTATTTCATATCCGGGTTGTTTGTAAGGATTCCCGGCCTCATGTTTTGTCCGTTCTTCTGTAATAAAGGAATCCTCTCTTTTTCCCAAAAAAAAAAAAAAAAATGCGTGAGTGGAAACAAGAAATGGAGTGGGGCCTTGTGAGTTTCCAACTGGTCCGGCGGAC